CTTACATGACCCAGGTTTAACCAACAAGCAGTGAAGCCTTGGGCACTCAAATTGCTAATCATGACTGTAGCTTCCCTTGTCCATTGTTTTTAAGCCACAGCTTGTAAAATTTTAGCCTTCTGGATGTTTTGGACTACAGCTGGCTATGATTGGCGGAGATGATGGGAGTTCTAGGCCAAAACATCTGGAGGTCCAAAGGTTCCCTACCTCTGATTCAAGCCCATCATTTATCCCAATATTGTCTGAATGTAAAAGTCAGACATTCCAACTTACCAGTGAGCCACCAATAAATACTTATTGTTGCCAACAACTTTAAGGATTTCATACAAATCTCTTGAGCAAAAAGAAAACCTAAACTAGTGAGATTCTATTACATCCATTTAGGACATTTGTTCTGTGCTTTGTAAATTGGGATAATATCATTATTTAGAAAATATTTCCCTGTCTGGAAAACAAAACCTGAAGCACCCAGTGAACATACTTCTAATGTACAAGAGTTAACAGAAAGAACTGTTAAGTTCCCCTACAGTTTATTCTCTTAGGAAGAAGGAATTAATAGTAAGTACAGTAAGTTTGGGAAGTCAAGCCATAACAGGTAGCAAAGATGAGAGATATTTTGTGGCAAATGTTGCATTGGAGGGAGGGGAGATTCACAAATGTTTCCTATTTCTTTCCTTCATAGTAGAAGCCCATTAAGAAAAACATTATTTTTGCCTGCCTAATGAGGCACAAGGGCACTTTGCAAGACAGCCCATTCATATTTTATGATCCATTTAAACACCCTTTTCAACTCTAGCCTGTGATGCTGGAAGCATGGGTATAAGATATTTCAATGATACAAATTGAGGTAACCTTGTTGAACTTCTCTAGAGCTTGAAATCAGCTGAACAGCATCCATTGATAGCATAAACCTTTATCACAGTCTAGAGATGGAGATGAGCTTAACTTCCACATACATCTACTGTTAGTTTCCATAGAATACAGAAGAGTCTACCATGTCATGCAAACTAGATAATGCCAGCTGGATCTTCATACATATTTTGTCTCTTTCAATGCTTGGGGAGCCATTGTGGTTTGACCCTGTGCCTAGGTCATGATGATGAGAGAGCCCCATTTCCTTCTACCTTTTCTAGACAACATTGGCTCTGGATCACAGTTCTCCAACAGGCTGAAACCTCTATCAAAAAACCAAGTTCTGAGCTACAGGGAACAAAGAAGCTGACATACAGTACTTATGTTTTTAAAATATTTCCAAGACGATTGCGGAAGCTATCTTCAAAATCACTGTGTATTATACGTTAATCATCAACTGGGACAGTTTTTTTTTTAGTTTCTTAAATACAATAACCATGATATCACCAGGCAACATTGCCAATGGCCAGAGAGAATATTTTTCAAGAGAAGCTGAGAGACAGGCAAGTTCAGTGTGGGAAAATCCCTGGAGGCTGTTTTCAGCAAGTCTATTTTGGACCTTGAGTGAAGCTCTGGAAATATAAAACCTTTGAGACACATAACAGGTCTATAATTCAATCTCTAGAACATATTTTGGGTAGTGGTGGTCTGGTTGCCTAAACGGTCCATTTTGCTGGAAGAAAACTGGTTAGAGAAGTTAAATGCCACTGACCCTAACTCTACTACATAGCATCCCCATTTCAATGTGATCTCTGCTGGAAGCCAGGCCAAATATAAGAGTTTGCATTAAATGGCAGCACATCCCACATACAGTATATGCATGTGAGACAGAGAACTAAGTGTGCAGCTCTTCTATCATCATGTACATACTTGTTGTGACAAATGAAACAGATATCTGAATGGCTGTTTCTTCAGTATAAAAATAAGAGTGCAGGCTGTATGCCAAAGACAAACTAGTGTGGAAGAGCAAAATGAGGGTAGACACTGCCTGGGCTTTAATGGGAATAAAGTATATGTATCTTCCTTAACATGCATTTTTTTAAAAAAAATATTAAAGAAAATTAATAACATTAACATAAAATTTGTGTGCTGTGAACGTGAATGTCTGAGTTTTAAAGGATACTTCCACAGCCCCCCCAGACCCTTACTCTTCTTCTTTGCTTTAAAACATAGAAAAGCTTTTATTTTCTCACTGAACTTAATGTCACTAGACTCTGTCACAGGTGCATCTGCTTGCTCCAATTTGAAGCTAGGCTGCGGTATATATTGGCCATCCACAAATATCCTGTGTACCTAATTTCCTATTGAAATGTAACCGCATAACAGCTTGCAGACAAGTTAGAGTACCCAAAGGGGGGGCAACTGCCTGCATACCTAGTGACATTTGCTGTTTTTGCTCTGTTGTCATATTTTATGTACCCTATAGATTGTATACTGAATACTTTTGACCTACTTGTCAGCCAGTGAGGATTTTTCTGTACTTTTGTTTCCTTGTGGTTAGAAAGCATAAAAGCTCTTCGTATTTTTGGGTCAATGTCCCTCATGCTTTGAGAGACCCGAGTGGCCACTTGAAATAAACAGCGCTTATTCTCTCTCTTGAGTCTGTGTATGGTCAGATCTCATGCCTGCTTGTACAAGAGTGTTTTAACACTCCCAGATTTCTTATATCTGGCTCTCAGTGCATACAATACAACTAGAATTCCCCACCCATGCCAACATCACCCTCAAGACTACGTAACCAGAAATACCATTTTTAATCCCTTTTCACCCCACTCCACTCCAAAATGACATTGATTCTTTTGCTGGCTTATGACCTTTCCCTTTTACTAAGACATACTCCAAATACAACTGCCATATCTCTTTAAAATCATTATATTTTGTCATTCCCCTTCTTACTTTAATTTCACATGTTAGCTTATCATTAATTGGTAAACTCCACATTTCTTTGTACCAATCTTCAAGATCAATTTGTTTGCAACTTTTCCAATTCTTTGCAAATATTAATCTTGCTACTGTGACCACTATAACAATTAACTCTCTCTGCTGTTTTTTAAGATGGCTGTTCTTAATTATATTTAGGAAGGCAATAATTGGTGATATTTGAATATTATGTCTAATAATTTCTCTAATTTCTTTAAAACCAGTGTCCATTCTTTCTTTCTTTTTTCACAAGTCCACCACATATGCATATAGGTCCCTTTTTCCTTTTTGCATCTCCAGCATTGAGAAGGTACATTTTTATTTATTATTTTCTGTCTTAATGGGGTAAAGCAAGATTGAATCCTTAACATGCATAAGGGAGGAAACAGGATTTCTGCCAGCAGGTAGAGTACAGATTACCGTTAATATGCACTTCTTGTCCTAAAATCTACAAAGAGGCAAGAGCAGTAGGTGTCACAAGTTACCAGTCCATGTTATTCCTGTCAAGGGAAAAACCATGGGACAATCTCACAGCCACCTTAGCCAAAGCATATACTAGTCCGAAACGACAAGAACAAGGTGTACTGTATTTTACAAAGGGAAATCAGAGAGGGCAGTTCTGGAGAAGAGGACAATAGAAGAAGAAGAAGAAGAAGAAGAAGAAGAAGAAGAAGAAGAAGAAGAAGAAGAAGAAGAAGAAGAAGAAGAAGAAGAAGAAGAAGAAGAAGAAGAAGAATATGGCAAGAGGTCCCCTATATTAAAAATAATAAATAAACAAACAAACAAACAAACAAACAAACAAACAAACAAATAATAGGAAGAAAGGCCTCCTGTGAGCGCTACCTGCTTGTAATTTTGTCTGCTTTTGTTATGCATATGTTGCACTTCTGTGTACATCTACATATGTAAAGAATAAAGGAGAAGAAGGGAAAGGAATCACATACATGCAAATAGTGCTTTGCACTGACTAGAAATCTAGGACATGAAATGCTTCTTCTAAGCATATTGATGAATGCACATACAAAAGTAAAAACAGCCAACTTTGGACTCTCCTAAAATTCTGTCAGACCTTGAGCTCAATGAGTAGAAGAGGGGAAAACATGCCAACTGCATTCAGGGGAATGCCTAGAAGTTCAAAATATTGGACCAAACTTGTTCTGATACTCTGTAGCATCTCCAACTGCAGGCCTTGCACTTGTCCACTGAGAGTTGTGCTAAGAAACCCAGAGGAGGAGTGGGAGAGGAGTCACATCCGGAGTGCATACACAAAACAAAGACACATAGAGACAAATGCACTGGAAGGGAGAAGGGAGGCGTCCTGACCATGTGTTCCAGGTGGGGGAATCCAGAAAAGAATATCATCGGAAGGGAATACGGCAAAAGGTAGGTAGGAAAGGACAGGAACCTGGTCACAAAGGGGCAAGAAGAAACTCTTTGAGTGGGCTACAGGCCACCAAAGCTTATGCCAAATGAAACTTGTTAGCCCCTAAGGTGCCAGCTGGCTGAATAGCTCAGTGAGTTAGGCATCTGGATGTGGAGCCAGAGGTTGGCAGTTTGATTCCCCACTGTGCTTCCTGGGAGAAGAGCCAATCTGTGTAGCCATGAGCAGGCTGAAGAAGGGAATGGTAAAGCAGTTTTGAGTCTGGACAGGGTCACCATAAGTGAGAACTGACTTGACAGCACACAATTATTATTAAAGTGCTACAAAACCAGTGGCTGTTTATGCAGCAGCAGGCTACAGACTAACAAGGTTGCTTCAACAACTTTTGGGAGTGGGTGAAATGTGGTGGAACAGTTATATCTCAAGAGAAAACAGAAAGTGCAGGGAAGGTGGAACTGCCTCTGACAAAAATAGTTTCTCTGCCTCAACCTGAGCTATCCAGCAAGACTGTCATGAGGATAAAGGGGAGGGGGTTGGGGAGTGCCACATATGCCTCCCTTGAGCCCACAAAAAAAACAGAATACACAAGTGAGATCTACTTTTTTTTTTAAAAAAGGTGAATAACCCAATGAGAAAGGGTCTCAAATCCCTCCTCCCGCTCCCCAGGTCTGGCTAGCAGGAAGCGAGCATCTGAGAAAGGGGGGAGGGAGGCGTGACTGTGGCAGCCTTGCCACCCCTCGATGCGCCCCCACTCCCACCCCCACCCCCCTCAGGCTGTGCTACTCACCCTGGCTGCCCTGGATGAGTAGGGGGCCTCGAAGAGCGCCCACATCCTGGGCTGACAGCTGCGGCCACAGCCCCCGGCCCCCCCACCCGACGGCGCCCCG